CATGCACCTACCTATTGATTATGAAATAATAAGGGGAGCTCTGATATTAGAAAACAACTAGAAGTTTCTTCCAGAGTGTCTGTAGAGGAAAACTAAGAGTCTTGTAGGTGATTGGCTATAAGAGAATTGAGGGGAAACAATCAGGTCTGGGAATAAATATTTGAAAGCTTATAAATGTTAGTTACAATCTTGAGAGGGGGTGAGATGGTCTCGCAAGAATGTAGAGACCTGCAGGCAACCTCTGAGTTTAATTACACAGGTGAGGACTCAATGCCCTGAGAAGAAGTGGTTAGATGGATGTTCAGGAGTATTTTAAGGAGAGAGTGGTCAACAGTGTACAGGGGAAAGAGATGCCAATTAAGGTAAAGAACTGATTTTTAAAAAATGTTAGAAGCTGTGATTGTCTTGTTTCAAAATTATAAGCTACCTCGATTCTTTTTTTGGAATGAGACCTGTGTGACTGAATGACCTCTGGAAACTGAAATGTACATAAATCCCGGTGTAAGAATGTCATGGTTAGTTTAGGTTCAGTGCTGGTGGAAGACACAGCTCCCACCCCTCCTCGGTGAGGGACAAGGTTACACCTGAACAGTGAGATCACTTATCTTTGTCACTATGGTCAGGTGCCTGGGGACCACAGCAGGCCCTTGAATAGAAAATGGAAGCCAGTCAGAAGGCTCAAGGAACTAACGGTTTAACCTTTGACTTTTGTCTGGTCCTAGGGATGGAATCAAGATGAACAAAGAAATGGAATCACACTTGTGCACTAAGAGATAGGTAAGAACATGTTAACTGTGCATTACTTGTGACAGAGAAAGATTGGAAACAACCCAAGTGTCCACCAACTGAAGAGTAGACAAATAAATTGTGTTCTGTCATTCAATGGAATTCTATTTGGCAGAGAAAATGAATAAACTAGACCTGTGTGTATCAACATATGTGAAAACAATGAGTGAAAACAAAGCATGTTGCCGCATGAAAATAGTTATGTGAATTTAAGAAACAGATAAAGCAATGCTGTACATGTTTATGTAAACATATAAATATAGTTTAGGTACAAAAACATGGACTAGGAAGGTACTTAACCAAATTCATGGTAATGATTGTCTCTGCGGAAGGAAGGAGGGAGACAGGATTGGGAAGGAAGAAAAAGAGGATTCCAACTTTATCTGTATTGTTCTATTTTTCTTAATAAGAAATATTCAAAGCATATGAAAAGGTGGTCAATTTAATTACTTCTTAGGGAAATGTAAATTAAAGCCACAAGAAGAAGAAAAAAACTGCAGTCGCCAGAATGACTAAAATTAACAAGTCTAATAATATCATATGTTGACATGAATATGGAGAAACTGGAATTCTTATACATTGCTGGGAGTGTAATTTTTTCAACCACTTTGGAAAATGGTACAATATCTTTGAAAGCTAAGCATACGCAGTCTGACAATTAAGTTCGTGAGCTTGCCACTGTGCGCTTACATTGACAGCACTGTAAGTTTTCAAACAGCTCGGGAAGGTTTCATAACTTTGGTGTATCAGTGTCTCACAGCTGTGTTGGTGTCGACGTGTGGTGGTGTTTTGCTGAGTGGCGTTCATTACTGTTGTTGCGTGTTTTTGTGTGCTGTCATGTGAATGTCTGAGCTTGAATTAGAGTAATGAACAAGCATTAAATTTCTTGTTAAACTTGGCAAGAGTGGAAGTGAAATCAGGGACATGTTAGTCCAAGTTTATGGGGATAATGCCGTGAAGAAAATGGCAGTGTACAAATGGATTAAATGGTTTTCTGAGGGGAAAGAACGCGTCACTGATGAAGGGAGGTCAGGGTGGCCAGTAACGAGCAGACCTGATGAAAACATTGCAAGAATTTGTTGAATTGTGCATCAAAATCGTCGGCTGAATATGAGAAGCATAGCTGACCAAGTAAACATGGATAGAGAAACAGTTAGGAAAATCTTAACTGAAAATCTTGGCATGAGAAAGGTGTGTGGAAAACATGGTCCCGAAGGAGCTCATTGATGAGCAAAAGCAAAGGGAGTTTTTAGCCAGTAAACAAATAACTGTATTGGGGCACCTTCCCTACTCACCTGATCTGGCCCCCAATGACTTCTTTTTTATACCCAAAGATAAAAGAAATATTGAAAGGAAGACATTTTGATGGCATTCAGGACATCGAGGGTAATACAACGACAGCTCTGATGGCCACTCCAGAAAAAGAGTTCCAGAATTGCTTTGAAGGGTGGACTAGGTGCTGGCATCAGTGCATAGCTCCCCAAGGGGAGTACTCAAAGGTGACAGCAATGATATTCAGCAATGGGGTATGGAGCACTTTTTCTAGGGTGAGTTTGCAAACTCGTATGCCTATCCTGTGATTCTGAAGTCCCCCTCCTCGGAACAAACCCAGGAGAAGTGAGTATTTCCATGCACTGAAGGAAATGCACAAGGATGTTCACAGCAGCTTTATTTATATTAACCAATGACTAGAGATAATCAAACCAATTTTGTTAATCCACTTCTAGATGTATGAGTACATCCTGGGAGATTCTTAATTTTGTACACAAGGATACAGGTTAAGACTACTCGTTGCAGCACTATTTCCAGTAACAACAGCACCAGCAACCATCACCACAACAAACAACCACAAAATAACAACTTAAATGTCCACCAGCAGGAGGATGAATGAAGACGGTGACAGCATGGATGCTTTTCACAGACATTATGTAAAGCAAAAGAAGCCAGACATAAAAGAATACAGACAATATGATTTTAAGAGGTTTTAGAATTAGTAAAACTAATTCTTGGTGGCAGAATTCAGAATACAAATTATCACAGGGGTTAGTTATGGGGTACTATTGACTGGGAAACGGCATAGGGACCCTTCTGGGGTGGTGACAAAACATCTGGAGGGTAATTACACTGGTGTATACATAGGTAAACATTTACCAAATGGTACAGTCAAGGTGTGTGTACTTTATTGTATGTAAGTTATACCTCCAAAAAATATCTGAAGCAAAAATAACGAAATGTTAACATGTGGTAATTAATGCTCAGTGTTGGGTTCTAGAGTGCTATTGTTTAATACTTTTCCTGTATATTAAAATTGTAATTATAATTAGGAAAGAGGGAGAGAGCTATAGTCCTCCACAGCCAAAGTGATGCCCATCCTAGAAGAGGTGACACTTTTCATGGTGACCCCTTGCCCACCCATGTGCCCAGTGCCTGGGTGGATTCTCTTATGATGGGATGCAGATGAAAACCAACTGACCTCTCCTGGTGGAGATCAGGCTATCGTCATTGTCACTGTCTCAGTAAATTGACATGGCTGCTAAAAAGTGGGGCTGTTTGGTAGGATCTGTTGAAGATCAGCTTGGCTGATTCTTTTTTATTTTATTTTATTTTATTTTATTGGGGAACAGTGTGTTTTTCCAGGACCCATCAGCTCCAAGTCAAGTAGCTGTTTCAATCTAGTTGTGGAGGGCGCAACTCAGTGGCCTATGTGGGGATCGAACCGGCAACCTTGGTGTTATGAGCACTGCTCTCTAACCAACTGAGCTAACCGGCCGCCCCAGCTTGGCTGATTCTTTAGCTGACAGGGACCTTGAGCAATCATGCAAGAGCTGGGCTGGGTGTCCACCACCCTGCATCCCAACCTGGCTAAGGAGAGAGAGCTGCATTTGGAAGGCACCTCTTTGGCCTCCACTCCCAGAATGGCTGCTTCTGGGTTTGCCTAGGGCATCACCAGTGGTTGCCACAGCAAGTCAAAGAGCATGAAGAAAGGAAAAAGAGAAAAACAGAGTTTAAAAAGGGAGGTGGGAAAAGGAAGAAGAGAGAGATCAAATGAAAGATGCACATGCCTCGCCTTGTTTCTTTAAGGACCAGGGTTGTCTGCTCCCTTATTTGGATCCTTTTCCTTCTGTGGGCTTAGCTCTCCGCCTCACACGGTGGAGGAAGGGAGGCTGTGGCGAAGCCAGACAGACCTGCCTTTCCATCGCTACTTGACTGGCAGGCTACTTGGCCTCTCTGCGCCTGTGAAACAGAAGCAGTAATTCCACTTCGCAGGGTTGCTGTGGGGCTGAAAATGGTGCCTGCCAAGACCCAACCTCGGAGGTCCTTGACAGCAGGCGTAAGGTGCCTGGCTTCCCTCTGAGGCCGGTTTTGTGGGTCAGAGACCGTGGCAGGGTTGGTTGTCCAATAGAACTTTCGGTGATGAGGGCTGTTGAGCACTTGATACGCGTCTGCACGGTGCGACTGAGGAACTGAATTTTCCATTTGATTCTATTTTAACTACTTTACATGTAAATAGTAACCTGTGGCGAGTGGCTACTGCATTGGGCAGCACAAGGGGCATCATTCGCGGCCACAGCTGGTCCCCCGCCAGGCGGCTGGGCAGGGCGGTTCCGTAGTGTCGACGCGGAGAGGCGCCAGGTGCGCTCTGCACCTATGCAGTCGTTTCCCCCGAGCAAGCTCCTCCTGAGTAAATCGAGGTTGGAAAGAACGCCCAGGACTACGGTCAGACCCCGGGCTCCGGGATGGGAGCTGTAGGGCTCCGAAACACGTGGCCGTCGCCGACTTGTGCGCCTCTTGCCCTCCACCCTTTCCTTCCCGTCCCCCGCAACCCCAAGTCCCTCGGGGAAGTGGGGTGGGGACCCGCAGGGTCCTCTCTGGGCCTCCCATCGCATTCGGCTCCTTTAGCCTTCGCAGCGAACTTGGGACGCTCAGCATTTTCATTTCAGGGATGAGCCACTGAGGCTCGCATGGCTACGGGCGCCCGGCGGGAAGCAGCTCTGGTGATGCCAAGGACACGTCCGTGGGTCGGGTTGTCAGGGCGCGCGGGTGAAGTGGCGCGTAAATATTTGGGGCTGTAACCGGGGCTCCCGCCACCTCTCTTCTCGTCACCGCGGTTCCCCGGCAGGCGCGTGGCGAGGGCGGCGCCCGGGGAGCAGAGCAGGGGCGTCCCCGGCGGCGGCTGGCACCCGCCCAGCGGCCCCGATAAGACAGCCGGGCTGCGGTGGCGGGGCCGGTGCGAGCGGGTGTGCGGCCCGTGCTGGAAGCTGCCCAGAGGAGCGCGGCTCAGGGAAGGCGACTGGCAGAGGGGGAGCGCGCGGGCGCGACAGCAAACCCCGGAGCGCCCCGGCCTCGGCGTCCCCACGGCCCCCGGGCCGGCACCTCGTAGGACCCGCTGCCACGCGCGCCGAGCCGACCCGAGCCCACTCATGAAGCCGCCCGCGGCGCAGAGCAGCCCCGCGGCCGCCGCGGCCGCAGGTGAGTGGGAGTCCCGGTGAAACCCTGGCTGCGCAGGTGGGGGGCGGAAGAGGGGCCGTGCGGGGTTGTCCTTGTACACCCAAGCTCTCCGTCCATTTTCACCGGTGGGACCCTGCCCGTGGCGGGTTCAGCCTCCCTGTCCACGGGGGCTGGGGACCCGCGCTCACACTGAAGGGCACATGCTGACTCAGCCTTCCCACCGCCTCCTGGCGCGCCCGCGCCCTCGGGGGAGCAGGCGTGGGGACCAGGACCCGACAGCGCGTGGGGGAGCCCCTGCATCGATCCGCAGGGCGACCTTCGGCCTGCAAGGCAACGTCGCCCAGCGAAGCGCAGTTTTCTGTCTCCAACGGGCTTGCGGGCGACCTCGCTCCGGGGGGCGGCGGGGAGTATTAGAAGATAAGCAGCGACACGCAGCCGCCGCGTGGCTGTCGCTGGGCCAGCGCGCTGCGCAAGGAGCGCGAGTTATCCTCGGGCCCCACGGCCGTTCCTCCCCGGCGGGGGGGCATGGCGCCCCGCCCCCGTCCCCTGAGTCCCCCGTCCCTGTCCCCACCAGCCCCGGCCTTGGACTCCGCGGCCGCCGGGGACCTGACGGACGCGCTGTGCGAGTTCGACGCGGTGCTGGCCGACTTCGCGTCGCCCTTCCGCGAGCGCCACTTCCACTATGAGGAGCACCTGGAGCGCATGAAGCGGCGGAGCAGCGCCAGCGTTAGCGACAGCAGCGGCTTCAGCGACTCCGAGAGTAAGTGCGTCCCCTCCCCCCCAGGGAAGGTGCCAGGGGCCCTGGGGACCCCCCCCCCAGTACCCGGCCCAGCAAGGAGCACTCTGGGCTGGGGTCTCAGTTTGCGTATCTGTAAACCGAGGGGTGAGGGTCCAGATAAGCAGCAGGCCCAGCGGGGGCGCGACGGGGACTGCAGGTAATGGGGATCATCATTGGAAGGCTCTTGAAGGCTAGCTGGTCTACCTGCCGCCTGCAAGTGCCGGGAGGCGCGAGGGTTTAAGTCGCTTGTCCCTACTCATTCAGACAGGACTCCTGGGACCCGGGCCAGGCCTTGCCACAGTGCTGCGCCCTCCCCTCCTGCCCCCACTTCTCTTCCCTTTCAGCAGTAACTTTTCAGAGGATGTGGAGCAAGTGCCACAGGAATGGGGATGGGAGGAGACATGAGAGGGCATAGTAGGAAAACATTTGTGAAATCAGGAAAGGTTTCCTAAGCTGCTGTTCTTGGGATTTTTGAAATAACTTCTTGCACTTTCTTTTGGCCATGAGCGCCCAGGCGTGCGGCTCCATTGCATACGGTTTTGAAAGACTCCCTGGCACTGCTGAGGTCAAGTACTTTAGGAAGCGCCCCTCTTTTCCCCAGTGGGTCCAACAGGGAGAGTGCTGGCTTTGACTCCGCACTCAGACTGGACCGGGAGCCAGAGGGCAGATGGGCACTGAGATGCTTCTTGGTGATTTCCAGGGTCCCTCTGTCCTAAACGACCTAAGACGAGAGACACCATTCATTTCCCAGGAACTCAAATGTCCTGTAAGGATTATGGATATCTATGTAGGAGTCAAACTGCAAATTTGGTGACTTTTCCGCATTACACGATTGCTGGTTTTCACACTGTGGATTGCTTATCGTTTTCCAGAGTGAATTTGAAATTAATTCTGGTTTATTCTTGAGGCTTCCCTCCCTAGATGGGTTACAAGCCTGAACTCACTCCCTTTGCTGCCTCCACTCTGGGAGTAAAAACAATGGCCTTTCCTTGTGATTCTCTTCTTTTGAAATCTGAAGCTCTTCCTGGTTCCAGGGGCAAGATTCAGCCCTACACTTAACATATGAGCTGTTCTCCTGAAAAGGGATACAGGGTGCTCACCACCTTCTGCAGGGTTTGAGTCAGAAACCTGAGTTCCAGTTTGACTTTTTCTGGTAGCTGTGACAAGGGTTAGATCTAATTGCAGCTTTGAGGTGAAAGGGAATGGAACAGTGTGCTGTTAATTTTCCGTTTTGTGTTTTTGGACTTTGTTGGACTCTGGCGAATGACCAGACCACTTATTTTCAATTTCAAAGGGAAGTCTAAATAATTTTTTGAAATGTGTCTCCCTCGCAGTGGCCAAATTGGAATACGCCTCCTTCTCCAGGGGCATGGAGCAAGCTATTCATCAGGGACAAATTCCCTCCCCCACAGGAAAGGAAGCTGGGGCGGCCTGTCCAGTGCGGCTGTATTGCAAAGAACAGCTCCTTTCTCAACCACAGCCGCATTTGGCTCGAGTAGGGTCTGAGCCGGCCCATTCTTGGGGTGATTGCAGCTCCCTGTGGGTAGGATTTCAGACCTGGGATCTGTTCGCAGGGGCCTCAAAGAGCAGACACTTGAAACGAATGGTTTTGGGGGGATATTTGGAATTGTTTGTAGTTTTTCTTAGGATACGTGTGGGTCATTTTGCTTTCTGCTTTCCTTGTTAACCGCTTAACCCTTAGGTTGGTGGTTAGAGGAGTAATGGAGACGGTATGAAGACGGCTCCGATGACATCAGTCTGTTCTACAAATGCAGACTTTGTCCCCCATAAGGCTGCTTAGAAAGAGTCTTGGCAGAAGCAGTGTGTATCTAAATAGTAATTTCTTAAGGAAGCATGATATGTGTATCATCATTGCCGCCAAGAATTGAGCACAGACACATTTGTTATATTCATCTGTCTGTGTAATGCTTTTCTGTGGAAGAGAATGTTTGCGAGAGGTTGAGGCTACCACCAAAAGGGAGACACACCAGGATATGACACGAAGAGCCAAGCCCTTACTAAGATTATTCTTATTATTCATGTGCTCTTACTCTTAGTGATCTCTTGCCTGTGCTTTAAATGTGCTATCTCACGTGCTCCCTGCCCCAGTCCTATAAGGTAGGCACTGCTGTTTCCATTTTTCTGATAAACCAGTAGAACCTCATGGGCTCTCTCTTTAAGGCCTTGCTCTGTCACCTGGAGGGTTGGCTGGAATGGGAGCCGGATCCTCAGGAATACACTTGAAGTTTCACTGGACCCAGATCCCGTGCCTGTTTATCGATGGTGGGTGTGTTTGAAGGGTCTCTTCAATGTGGTGGTCATCTTGCCAGGTCATTGGAGCCCAAGCTGAGCTCTGTCAGGGCCCTGGATGATGAGTGGGCCTCAATTTCTCTAGCAGTAAAATTGAAAGGATGCTGTTTAATGGTGCAGTTAGAAACATCCATAAGCTCATGATTAGGAAGAAAATATTTGTCCTGTTTAATGCTTTCATGAAAACATGAAAATGCTTATACTGAGATTTGACTTTGGGTGTTGAACACACCATGCAGTATACGGGTGATGTATTATACAATTGTGTACTTGAAACGTATATAATTTTATTAACCAATGTGACCCCAATACATTTAATAAAAATAAAATAAAATGCATATACCATGCTAGGTCATATAGAGCAGACACATTTGAGCCAGTCTTGCATGAAAACGTAATGTATGAAACTCTGAACCAAGGGTCCCTGCTTTTCACTTGACCTGACAGGCTGCATCGCTCTTAGGAGGTACGCACTGCATTCCTGTTTTGCGAAGAGCCCTTCCTTTTCTCATGAACAAAAAAATTAGGTTGCTTGCATCCAAAGGAGAAAAATACACATTTCTTCTTCCACCCACAGAAGTAAGTTACTTGGGTAGGCAAGAAGAATGGATATTTAATAAGGAAATAACCCTTCCTGTTCCCACTAAGACGTGCAGAGGACCCAAATAACAATTTTTCAACAAGATAAAACAAGATAACTGCGCATCAGGGGCGGCATTCAAATGGGCATGATCAAAACAGGCCCGTTCCTTTTCCCTTCTTGGGGTCCCACAGGTCATTTCAGGCCCCCTCAGGTAATCAATCTAGTGGGAGTAGTTTTAACTTCAGTAAAAGGGCAGTGCAGTGCCAACTTGATCCTCAGAAGTGCTTCTGAAATTGTAAACATCCTTTGTTTGAACTTATTTTTCAAAATACACTGTTTTCTCAGTATTTTCAAAACTGTACATGCACATCGTGACTTCTCAAATGTGTTTAAGGCCTGAGGTGTCCTGTGTGTGTGAAGGCTATTATGATGCCTAGGGCCATTTGGGGGCATGAGGAACTGGCCTCTTTTGCATATGTAAGACTTAGAATGTCTGTCTCTCTTTGCAGTGACTATTCCAGCTTGGCCCTGGGAGAGGGGCCTTACGGATCGCTGGGTGCCACCATGACAGGTAGCATATTGGCTGATCTGGCGTAGGAACCACTGAGAGTAGAACCGTCAGAGTGGGAGGAGTTAGGAGCCCTCAACTCGCCCTGATGCTGTGTTAGGGATTCCAGGCGTGTGACAGGTCTCACTCTGAAGGCGGCCTGGAGACATGTCTAGAGGGACACTGAGCAGTCCCAGAAGGGAAGCTACAGCTACAGTGATGAAATTGAGAAAGGGACGCTGTCTTATTCTATCCCAGTTTTAATGAGGCTGTCAGAATTTGAATTTTGATGAGATTAACCCCCCCCCCCATTCCCCTCCCCTCTGGCAGAAAGGAAACAGGTCCAAGCTTTCTTTTTCTCAGTTAATTACTATAGTTTGCTTGCCTTCACCGTGTGGGATTGTGCTATATTTACAGGAGCTCTGGGCAAGGTTCAGTCTGTGGTTTGACTTCCCTCTGGACTAGCACATGTTGGTGTGCTAACCCTAAATTACCTTTTTCCCTGCCCTCAAACTAAGAAAGCACGTCTACCTTTTAAACCAGTCTCTGTTTTTCCATCTGAGTTTCTTAAGCTCTGTGGGTGCTCCTAAAGTTAGATGTTTGTGTATTTAATATGCTTGCATTTCTTTTGACAGTGTCTTGGCAGGGTTGGTCCCTGAATGTGAGTTTCCTGGCTTCCAAGTTGACTTGCCAAGGACGTTGCTCATGGGGCTCCGAGTTGCTTGTGAGATGGGCATTAGAGCTGATTGAAATAGATGTTGTATGGCCTTAAAATATCTAGTCTTGCCACCTGCCAAGGTTCCCCAAGCCATCGCTCTTATGTGTTCCTTGAGCCCCTGTTAATAGCAGCACTTGATATTGGGGTGGGGCTCTCATACATTAATATGTTATCAGCCAGGGACACATGGCGGTCATTTTATCAGACCAATTGGCTGTTATTTTGCAAGGAATAGAGTGCCAGGATCGTGAAAGGATGGGAAGGCAGGCTTTGCTTACCTTTTCACTTATTACAACGCTTAACATGAGATCTTGTTCCCTGCAGGGGCTTAATAAAAGTTTATGGAGTGAACTTTTATTGGATGAAGGGTAAAGAAAGGTCTGGAGCTTGGAGTACTCGTGTGTAGGTGGCTTGCTCCTGGGAAGTGTGTTCTAGGACTCCTCTGAAGATACACTTCTCTTAAGGATTTTGCTGCTCCCTGAACAAGAGAGGCGAAGCCTGGGCCCAGAATCTCGATTCGTGTTGTTTTCTGTGGTGACCTTCCTCTCCTGGGCAGCCATCCTCCGCTTTGCCGGACACTTTAGAATAAAATCATGAAAACCAGAGGTATCATACATGCAGTGCCTAAGTTATTATTCTCCTTTTGCAAAAGGGGAAACTGAGGCTCAGAGGTGAAGTCACTCGCACAGTCACACAGCTTCCAGGTGGCCTCTTGTCCCACACATCTTTATGTTGGCAGCTTCCGCTAGGGCTCTTGAGGTTGTCCTTTTCATCTTTGTCATGAACGACATGTGTAGAATATTACCACAGGGTGGAACTAAACTGTGGGTGGGTTTGGCTCTACGATGCTGGGAGTTCATTTCCTTTTGATGGTTGAACATTTTGGGGCCCGGAGTCAAATCTGGCTCAGATTGTGCACAGAAACTCATGGAAAGAGAGAGGCATCCAGGTGGAGCAATGAGCTGGAATGTGAGTGTGTGTGTGTGTGTGTGTGTGTGCGCGCACATGCGTTCTCCTCCCATAGCATGAGTGTATGTGTATGTAAAATTGCTGGAAGGTTGGGGCAGAATAGAGATGAAGTCCAAAGTCAGGACAAGGGCCTGCGGTGCAGGGTGGGTGGAGAAACTGCTCTCCAGGGCCATCTGTTTCTGGGAGATAGAGACCAGAGGTGTGGCCACAGATCTGGGCCAGCGGGTCTCTGGGTTCGGCACTGTGGGCCAGATATGGGGGTGATGCTCTGGGGTGTCCCTCAGAGCCACAGATCATGTGCCCAAGGCCTCATATTCTTTTATTCTGGGTGTATCTTTTGTAACTTAGTCATGTTCATTTTGAGCTAAGGAGACCTAAGGAGGATGTTTTTGCCTCTCCTCTTGAGCTGGAGGTGGTGGGATTAAGTGAGCAAGTCTCCAGGAGTGAGGGCTGGCCAGGCCCCCAGGATTCATCTGCCCTCTCTACCTGCAGAGCCTTTCCAGAGCTCATCTCTGCTAGACCGTGGCTGGCTCTGTGTTTGTTTTAATCAGGAAGACTGTTCCCTTGCGACCTCAGTGGCCACATCCTGCTTCCGCTGCCGGCTGTGCCTCCGAGCCCTTTGAGTTGGTGCAGTTCAGCCAGCAGCTCCATTCTCTGACACAGCCACATGGCTGGGCTGCCTGTGGGTTGGTTTCCTCCCCCGTGGCAGGACTTAGAGATGTAGAATCTCAGAACTGCAGAGCTGGAAGGGACTTGAAGGATTATTGAGACGATCTCCCCATTTTATCAATGGGTTAGCTGAAGCCCAGAGATGCTGTCTTGCTCAAGGAAACCCAAGTATCCAAGCGGTTCCCTTGATTCCCAGTGCAGCCCTGCCTCTGGGACTTTGCCTTGCTGTCGCTCTGGTCTTCGGGGGTATGACAATACAGGGAGCCATGAAATTGCTCCAAGTGTCTGCAATAGACAAGCTACAGGACAGGAAACCTTTGACCCTCTAGCATATTCCCTGAGTGTAGGCTCTCAGGAAACCATGACAAAGACTGTTGACCAGGCAGGGAGGATTATTAAGTCATGAGATCCAACCTTGTGTTTGTATTTTAGGGGCTTCAGGGGGCAGAAAGGACATTGTTTTAGGAAAGGTGATTCCTATGTCTGAGATCCCGCCTCGCCACCCCCACCCCTGCTCAGCCAGGCACTGGTTTAGCTGTCAGTCAGACACCTGGGCCCTGGGCCCCTTTGTGCTGCAGAGAGGCCAGTCTGCCGGTGGTGACCCCATCACACTCTGCCTCTTTCAGGGTATCCGAAGGCCGATTGGAGACACACACTGACACACACACACTCTCCTGCCTCAAGTCATTTTGGGGCATAAATATGTCTTTTCTTTTCTCCTATGGATTTATACCTTTTGCTCCTTTTAGAGATAAGCTCTTGCTCACCAATAGACTATAGAAAACCATTCCTGAGTTTTGTTTTCTTTCCGAAAGGTGCAGATTCGCTCTATAGAAACAGCTTCAGCTTCAGTGATGAAAAACTGAACTCTCCAACAGACTCTGCGCCGGGTCTGCTGTCGCCCACTGGCGCCCCTCGGAAAGGTGAGCGCATGAGCTGGAGCTGAGCTCCTTGCTTCCTTGTTCCCTTCGCCTCCTCAGTCTCTTTTCTCTTCCCCCTTATCCTTACCGAGATTTCTCAAATGTGCAAGCAAATAGACAACGCTAGTATCTTAGTACAGTGTGAAGCACAATTTGTTACATCTCAGGATTTTGGTCAGTTTGAAAATGATCAAAATCGGTGGGAGGGAGGGGCAGGAAACCAAATTCACAGGGAGAAAGAAAGCTCATAGACTCCAGACTCCGCTTTCTCTCATGTGGTGCTGTCAAGACTGTGCCAGATGACAGTATTCTCTCCGACTGGCTGGTTCTAGAATGTAAAACTCAGCAGTTAGGCTTTGCAGAAAGTAGGACTCTTTTTATTGCATTAACTTTTTAACCCATGCATTCAGATGACCAATTTAGCAATTAAATGGGGTCGTCATTATGAGAGAAGTGGTGATCTCACAGGAGTCAGAATAGCAGCCCCGGCCTGTCTCTATGGTGATATTAATAGACCTAAATTGTTTTTAAAGATGCATGAGCAGCTTCTTAGTTTTTGGGACTGTCTCCAGCTAGAAAGCTGAATGTTCTGTTATCGTGAACAAGTGCCCTTTTGAAAACAAAAGGAGTTTTTTTTTTCTTTAAGAAACATTATACTTGTTGAAAATAGTTGCAGCATGCAATAAAAATGGAACATAGTTAAAAATAAATATGAAGAGTCCATCACTTTTCTCACTCTGGCATTAAGGCAGAATTTCTCTCTCTCTCTTTTTTTCCCCTCTTTTCGAAAGAAACCTTTTAAAATTCGCTTCTCAACATAGCAATGTTAGCAGCTGCTAGGGGCTCTGCCATTGTCCAGCCTCCGTCTGTAACGGATCTGTTGAATTCAGAGAAACAGAGCAGTCCAGAAAGTGGCTTAAAACATGCCCAGATCTGCTACCTGATCCTCAAGAGGTAGGAATTAGAGAGGGGAAAAAAGCCCGACTGGCAAATGGACTTTAAAAGCACACGAAGAACAATGTGCCAATTGTAGCCAGCAGGGGTTAATACAAACATCCACTAACGTATTTCAGAGAAGGCACAAATGATGAATGCTCTACACAAAAAAGTAGGATATACAGAAAAAGTCTATATCTCAGGATGCAGAGGGAAGAAAATCGTGACACGGACTTGTTACTCAGTGCTGTCACCTGGATGGGACGTGAGAAGCCTCATGCTGCCTCCCCTTACCCCTCTGCCCAGGATTGGTGGCTCTTTGTTCATTTCATACTGGAGGGACTCTGAGGTCACAGTATTGCCCTAAGCGGACAGCACAAACAGGAACATGTCAGACAGACGTGCAGACAGACCTGTCGCAGAAATTACGGGAGCTGGGTGTCCCCAAAGGGCCATGCTTACCCAATATTTTTAACTGATTACTCAAATCCTACACAATAAAAAAAAAAAAATTGGGGGTGGCCCGTTAGTTCAGTTGGCTAGAGCACAGTGCTCATAACACCAAGGTTGCCGGTTCAATCCCTGCACCCTCCACAACTAGATTGAAACAACTACTTGACTTGGAGCTGATGGGTCCTGGAAACACACAGTTACTCAAGTAAAAAAATAAAAATAAAAACGTTTAATCTTTCTTCCTGGCCCCTCCTGCCCAGCTCCTGCCCCTATCAAACTTTTAAGGCCAGGAAAGGAGATTCTTCCAGGTTGCTGGTGTGGGGGTGGGGGGTGGGAGATGATGGAGTGAAAAAACAAGAAAGAAACATTTCAGGCTGATCTTTAGAATGCGTTTCTGAGTTGGCTGTAAGTAAACAGTGGAGCAGACTCGTAGGGTTGGTACCGGACACTCTTTACTAACATCTCTGAAGATGGAGAGATGCAAACAGGTTGCATAATCGCGGAAAATGTGGGAGTCATCATCTCCCTTTGATATGGAGAAAATGAACTCCAGCCCTTGTTTTTTCAGCCAAGCTCGGAGACACAAAAGAGCTAGAAGACTTTATTGCTGACCTTGACAGAACATTAGCAAGTGAGTACATGCCTGGTATTAACAAATCAAACAGAAAACTAACCGACAGACACCTCCGATAAAGTGCTGTAATATTTACCAACTGGCTTGGGAGGTGGGGGCGGGGGTGGGNTCATTTCCCATTAGCTGCATACCTTATCCACGTTATAATTCAGAGGATTAGACCTGGGTGCATGTGGCAGGGGTGGGGTGGGGTGGGGAAAGGAAGTTACATCAGAATGCCTCTTTAGGTTCCCAACAGCACCCTGGTGGCTCAGAAAGAAATTCAAAGGATAAGCTTGCTTTCAAGTAGACCGTGTGCCTTTCCAAACAGCAAGCACAGGCCCCCAGCAAACAATGGCATTTTGTTTGAGGAGTGGAGAGTAAAGCAGTACAGTCCTGAGAGTGAGATTGGAGCTTGACCATGGGGATGATTTGCTAGGCTTTTTAGGGAAGAAATGGGCTGGCTGACCACACAAGCATTATACTGACAAGCCTGAGGGTTCCATTCCACGGGCCAGGGAGGCTTTCCCAGGTTAGATCCAGGAGCTTGGTGAGGTCTGACTTCTCGAGGGTGGGGAGACCCTGTAACCAAAGACCCACACCAATTACCGAAAGGCCTGGATTAAATACAATACCTTCTTTTCCTTTGGCCATTGCACTTAATGAGGTCCTCGTGTGTTCTCTGCCTCAAGATCTCATCGCCCTTTTTCTTATGTGCTGTACCATCCCGCATCAGAAGACCAAGGCCTGTTTGGGCAGAGATTATTGTAACTGCCGCACAATTTGTATTAGACCCATGTTAACAAGCCTGCCTGCTTCACGGAAATTGCAGCTGGCTGCCCAGTCGTACCAGTTCATCAGGCATACATTACGTGGGAAGCCTGCCATTAAGTTTGTTGCGTGGATGCCTGTCTGGGATGGTGTGATCTGGTTAAGCATAGGAATGGTAAACGTTGAGTGGATAATTTATCTGTCCTATTTACAGCTATGTAAAAAGAGGAGACGTTCTGGGTCCTTCCATCATAACGAAGAAGCTTGAAAGCTCTGAGGACCTGCTAAACTCAGCTACAGAATTTGCTGCCAGAAGGGACAGAAATGAATACTCACCTACCACCCCCAGGCCATTCTCTGGCTCATCCTAAAACCAGCCTTTGGGCTCACCTCTGGGCAATTTCGACAGTGAAACTGACTTTGTTTACCTGCTTGCAGTGTATTAGAACAGACCACCCATGCTAATATTGTATTTTCACTTAAAATGCAGCTTTCCTGTAATTTAAAGTGCTTTCATGAACATATTTGTAATTAATTATGTATAGTTGGAAACAGTGATATGCTTTCCCCATCATAATATATTTTTGTATGCAAATAAAATTTGGACTAGAGTCTGGATTTTGTAAGTTTCCTTTTTTTTTTCTTTATTTCTTTCAATATATTCTCATTCAAATCGTACTCCGGTAGGAATAACACACCTCTTGACTTCTAACAAGGATGTGGGGTGCTGCCAAATTGCACTACACAATAGGATGGTAAACGTCAAGTGTTACTTGAAGCTCATTCAGCACTTTCGAGGGAAATGGTGACATATGATGAATGGGAAATTTTAATTTGAGGATTGTGGTTTTGATGGAATTTGGGTTTGTCATCTATCACTGTTCTCCGCATATTTTAGGACCTTTTTAGGTGCCGTGGGCTCTTTCCTTCAATTACAGGAAATACCAGTTTTACTCAAAATCCAGGACTTAAATATGAGGGAAACTGAGGGCAGCCGTAAGACTTAAAAATGATGGTGCTTTTCTAAGATCTATATGCTGAGGAAGATTTGATGGCGTTGGCCTTGATGTTAACATTCAGGTGGCTCACTGGAGCCAGAGGGTCAAGATGCTATGTTTTCCATCGAGTAGGCTTTGCATGTAGCAGCCAACGCTGCTCCCCCGGCTTCTCCCCCCCCAACTCCCCCACCCCCCCCTGCCCCCGCCTCTTGTAGGGGATGGAGGGAGGCATAAAAACAGGAAAGCTCTTAATTTTCTTATCTATGATTTTCTATTTAAAACCTCTAAAATAACCAGGCATTCCTTTGATAATCAAATCAAGTTATTTAAAAACTAATTCTTAAATGTTTCTATAGAACACAAATCCAAAACATAATTAGTTATGATTTTATTTATATCTTCAAACGCTAACTATTTGCGCTGTGTTTTAGGGCACTGGGAAACTAAATTGCCTTTTTAAAAATGTTTTTCTTTTCTCCAGATTTCTGGAAAAGCTATTGGATTGGGCCCAAATGTTTTCTTTATTTCTTTATTGATGTATAATTTGCATACCCTAGCATCCACCCTTTCAAAGTGTACAAATCCGTAGTTTTTAGTATCTTCACAGAGTTGTGCAACCATCACCACTGCCTAATTCTGTCTTTATGGATTTGTCTATACTGGATGTTTTGTGTGAATGGAATCATACAGTTTGTGACCTTTTGTGTCTGGCTTCTTTCCCTTACCATACTGTTTGCAAGGTTTTTCCATGTTGTACATGAATCAGTACTTCATTCCTTTTTATGGCCAAATAACAATCCACTGTATGATTATACCATATTTTAAAAATCCACTTATTGGTTGAGGGATGTTTGGGTTGTTTCTACTTTTTGGCTGATGAATAATGCTGTTATAAATATTCATATACAAGTTTTTGTGTGGATATATGTTTTAATTTCTCTTGGGTATATAACTAGGAATAGAATTGCTAGGTCATATAATAACCCTATGTTTAACTTTTAGAGGAATTTCCAAACTTTTCTATAGCAGCTGCACCATTTTACATTCCCACTAGCAATATATGAGCGTTCCCATTTCTCTACATCCTCACCAACACTTTTTATTATCCATCTTTTTTTTAATATAGCCATACTAGTTGGTGAAAAGTGGCATCTTATTGTGGTTTTGATTTGCATTTCCTTGATACTAATGATGTTGAACATCTAGTTATGTGCTTATTGGTCATTTGTAGATCTTTGGAGAAATGTCTATTCAAATCCTTTGCCCATTTTCTAGATTGTCTTTACTATTGTTGTAGGAGTTTTCTATGTATTCTGTACACAAATCTCTTATCAGACATATAATTTGCAAATATTGGGTTGTTGGAAAAGTCATGACGCATGTTTGCAACAGATGACACTAGTTTATTTTTGGAAGTACTAGAGTCATTCGCATCTATGCTATTGCTATGTCATTTGACAGCTGACAGTTCTAGCTTCGTTCTAAAAAAAAATTGAGTGATTTGGTTGAGTTTTGGAGATTTTACAACAAGTTGAAGATGGAAGAGCAAACTGTGCATTTTTGCCATATTTTACTGTTTTACTTCCATAAAGGGAAAAGTGCGTGTCAAGCTTGTGAAAAGTTGCATAAAGTTTATGGCCACAATGCTTTACAAGAATACAAGAACGTCAGTGCCAACGATGGTTCACGAAATTCCGTGCTGGTGATTTTGATTTCAATGACGCTCCTTGGTCAGGGAGGCCCACCGAGGCTGATGACGACAAAATAAAGGCATTGATTGAGTCAAACCCACGTTACATGACACGAGAGATTGCAGAAACATTGAATATCCATCATTCAAGCATTCACGACTACCTGAAGAAGCTGGGATATGTAAGGAAGCTCGATATTTGGGTTCTGCATGAACTCAAAGAAGTTCATTTGACGGCGTGTATAAACATCTGCAATATGCTCATTAAACATGAGGAAAACAATCCTTTTTTGAAGCGACTGATAACTGGTGATGAGAAGTGGATTGTTTACAACAATGTGGTGTGCAAATGGTCTTGGTCCCGACGTGATGATTCGCCTCAAACAACATCGAAAGCAGACATTCATCAGAGGAAGTTTATGCTCTCAGTGTGGTGGAGTTTTAAAGGTGTCGTGTTTTTCAAGCTCCTACCAAGGAACCAAACATCAATTCGAATGTGTACTGTTGGCAATTGGACAGTTTGAATGAATCCATCATCCAGAAATGTCCAGAGCTTGTTAATTGTAAAGGAGTTGTGTTCCATTGTGACAACGCAAGACCACACACAAGTTTGATCACCCGTCAAAAATTATTGGGGCTTGGATGGGATGTGTTGCCACACCCACCATACTCGCCTGAACTTGCGCCATCAGACTTCCACTTGTTTTGCTCTCTTCAAAACTCCTTGCATGGTATAACGTTCAATTTAGATGAGGCTGTAAATCAGGACCTTGTTCAGTTTTTCGCAAATAAAGGCAGGTCTTTCTATGAACGAGGAATTATGAAGCTCACTGAAAGATGGCAAAAGGTTATCGTACAAAACAAGCGATATATCATTGGTTGATCTTTGTTCTTTATATAAATAAAGGACCTTTGAAAAACATAGACAAAATACGTCATGACTTTTCCGACAACCCAATATTTCCCTTTACTTTGTAGGTTGCCTTTTTACTTCTTCGTTAGTGTCCTTCGAAGCACAAAAGTTCTAAATTTTGATGTAGTCCAATTTATCTTTTTTTGTGTGTGTCACTTGTGCCTTTAGTGTCATATCTAAGAAACCATTACCTAATTCAAGGTCACCAAGAGTTACTTGTATGTTTTCTTTTGAGAGTTGTATAAAGTTATACAACTGTTACATTATACAAATCTTACTTTGAGGCCTTTGATTTACTTTGAATTAATTTTTGTATATGATGTGAGGTAGGGATCCAGCTACATTCTTTTGACTGTAAGTATCTAGTTGGCATAGCACTATTTGTTGAAAAGACAATTTTTTTCCCCATTGAATTGTGTTGGCACCCTTGTTGAAGGTCAATTGACTATAAATGTATAGGTTCATTTATGGACTCTCAATTCTAGTCCAAGTGATCTATATGTCTATTCTTATTTTAGTACCATGTAATCTTTCTTGACTACTATAGTTTTGTAGTAAGTTTTGAAATCAGGAATTGTGAGTCCTCCAATTTTGTTCTTCTGTAAGATTATACTGGATGTTCTCGGTACCTTGATTTTCATATAAATGTTAGGCTCAGCTTGTCCATTTCTGCAAATAAGGCATCTGGGATTTTCGTAACATTTGCATGGAATTTATAGATCAGTTTGGGACATACTGCCCTCTTAGCAACATTAAGTCTCCTTCCAACTCATGAACATGAAATGTCTTTCAATTTATTTAGGTCTTCTTAATTTCTTTCAACTATGTTCTGTAGTTTTCAGTGTATGAACCTTACATGTCTCTTGTCAAATTTATTCCTAAATATTTTAATCTTCTTGATGCTATTGTAAATGAAATTGTTTTCTTAATTTTATTTTTAGATTGTTCTTTACTAGTGTATAAGAATACACTTAATTTTTGTGTATTGATTTTGTATCCTGCAACCTTGCTATACTTGTTATTGGTTCTAATAGTTTTTTTAATGGATTCGTATACAAAATCATATCATTTGCAAATAGAAATAGTTTTACTTCTTTCTTTCTAATCTGAATGCCTTTTTAATTCTTTCTGTTGCCTCATTGCCCTAGCTAGAACGTCCAGTACGATGTTGAACATGCGTGGTAAGAAGCCACATCCTAGTCTCGTTCTTGATCTTAGAGGAAAAGGTTTTAGCTTTTCAGCATTAAGTATGATGTGAGCTGTGGGAATATTTTCTTTTTTAATCAAATGAGCTCTGACTTGCTTTCTAAACGCAGTTTTTTTTTCATTACCTGGAACTGTTTTTTGTTCATGCTTGGGAGCTCTTATCTGCTTTGGATAATCTTTTTTTCATCAGGACATCGTGACTGATCATTCTTAGTGTGACTTTTGTTACTAACCTCTTCTGGGATTGAGGATCTACCTGGACTCCCAAAGTTGGTGCAGGGTATGTAGCTTTGTGGCCTATTGTGAGTATAAGGTCAGTGGTTTGGGGAAAAGAAGTGAATGTTTTAGAGAAGTGTTGGGCGGAGGGAAATTTGTGTTTTTTAAAGTTCTTTTGGATGAATAACTTGGGACAAGCAGTCAATGTGCTGAGTCACAGTTTGGTGTTCAGGGAATGTTGAAAAATGTGTTTTCAGTGTTTACCAAGATGTGTTGCAAGTAACACATTCCTAACCTGTTTTGAAAAATAGGTATTAAGGTCACATACACTTGAAAAGTGCTGTATGATGTTACCCCACTTAGAGATTTATTATGCACATTAGTGCATAAAGTGCTTAGGGTTCAGTCTAAGTTGGAGGATCAGAGAACCCAAAATATAGTGACTTAAACTAAATGGAAGCCTTTTTCTCACTTATAGCCCAGAGGTGAGCAGTATAGCGCTGGATGAGTGGCTCTCTGGTCCAAAGTGGCTGCTCCTGCTCTTGTTATCACATTTACAGTCCAGCCAGCAGAAAGGAGGAAAGGCAGGTCAA